AAGAAAGCATCAAAATTGAGTGTGTAATAATTAAAATATGTACTATGATAAACCAAAGCTGGGCCCAAACCAAAATTCCAGTTCCAAGCACTCCCCACATCATTTGGATGGAGCAAAGTAGGAAAAGTGTGGGCAGGAGAGATGGAAATTGACATCTGAATTGTAATCCAGATATTATGTCTGGGCCCTATCTCTATAACAGGCCAAATCTAAACCTTAAACCTGACCACCCCAGAATTTGGGGAGTTCTAGAATTTGAATTATGAGTCTCGCACTGGTAGCTTAGCTTGTAAGATCTTGGCCAATATGCCCATATCTGCCCATGTGCTGTACAGCATCTGAATGGAATATATAGGCACTATTGTAATAAAGATATTTAACAATAGTTAAAAGAGAAAAGTGGCCATCATCTTGAGAGCAGGTGACCAAGTAACTATATTTAATTTATAGATTAATACTTTGTTTTACATAAGTACTGATTGAACCCTTTTGCCACACCCTGTTAATTGTGGACATAATTGGTCTTTCCCCAAAAGGCAGTGACAGTTACCTAACTTTAAATCTGCATTCACTTATTCTTCCTTTTGCTAACCATGTTTATGTTAAATGGTCAAATTAGACATGGAATTGCATTGCTTACATATCGTCTCATTTGCAGTGTCCAAAATACTGTGTGAAACTGATCCCATTAAACAGCTCGATCTGTGTGCCTGCGGGTTTTGTAAAGCACCCGTCACTGGTTTATACAACCAGCCTGTGATTGCAGGCTCATGTTTGTTTCCTAGCCTTCATCTCCCTAGTGAGCTTGTTTAAACAACACAAGTGCTCTTGCAATGAAAAGTTTGAATTCAAGTCTTGAGATTAAGCAAGCCTGGATTTTTTTAAACCATTTCACTTCCTTCTGACCTGGGTGGTTGACACTCCTTGTTCCAAATTCCAGTCCTGTGACTTAGTACTTTGGAAACACTAGCTAGTAGAGGAAACACCCTCACTTTTTTTCCCCATTGGAGACAATTCTGTCCCACCAGGTATTTGGGATCAAAATACCACAAGAAGTCATGTCATAACAATAGGAAAGGATCAAAACTAATGATTCAGAGTTTATACATTAGTCCAGTAATACAAATGGAAATGATGGGCCTGATCCAAACCTCAATGAAGTCAGTAGGAATCTTTGCATTGACTTCACTGGTGGGAGCAGGTCCTATATATGACCCCAAAGGAAAGAATAGACTCTTTTGCAGTCAAAAGCCAAATGCCTCTTTAAACCCTACTGGTTGCCATATCACAAGTTGCCAGGTTCTTGAAAGTGATTGGGAAGAAAAATGAGGCACAAAGTCCATTTGCTTATTATGTTGCAGGCTTGAAGGGCTCGTTCAGCGTTGACATTTAGAAAGCAGCTGCTACAGATTGCAGGTTTACCATTGTTTTGTTGTAGTATCAGCAAAGGAGTGGCAGCAGCTTACATCATTTCCAGTAATGAAGTGCCTGGGGCTTTTTTTATGACTTGCACTCTGCCTGGATTTGCTCAGCCTGTGCCATGTGACTCCCAGAGACTCAGGCTATGTATTGACTTGTTAAAACCACTTTTCTCTTTTTCTTCTTACAATTCTAGCATGGATCTTGTTGATTCTTTGCTCCTCTCAGAGAACGTGTTTATAACTAGAAGCAGGCAAATTTCTCATAGTGTGACATGTTTTCCTTGTTGGATACATTGAGCAGCAATAAAATACCTCTAAAGCAGATGATTACCTACTATCGGAAAGTGTCCAGAATGTTAGTAAATACCAACATACCATGGATATTGTGTATTGGCTTTTTTTTTAGGATAAGATGACTAATGATGAGGCAGCTACTGTTATTACTGCTTCCCTTCCATATTTGAGAATCTTATCCCATTTGGGTTTTTTTTATGGTTTCCCTATCTGTTAAATTCAGATAATTATATTGCCTTGCTGAGGTGTTATGAGGATTAATTATTTAATGGGCCAAAATGACTCCCTCTGATACAGGGAAGTGCAACTTGTGGTGCCTCAAGGGAGGATCATCCGAAGTACTGCCACTAACACTCCAAGGACATTCTCCTGGCCATTAATCAACTCACTCATTTTTGGTGCAGATATGTTTCGACAGCACACAAGCCACATTCTCCATCAGTTTTTTTTAAGCCCATCTGCATGTGCTGCATCAACAGCAGCTAACTCCCCTGAACATCAGTAGCTTTTGCATTATAAATGCTGTGCTGCTTTTAGCGGCTCCAAAGCTAGTCAAGAGTTATACAAACTTCCATCCTGTTAAGAAATTGTTACCTTTTCTTTTGCACCACCAACCTGTTCTGTTTAAACCAGACCTTTGTTGACATTACAAACTACTGCACTTGTTTTAAAATCTTAAGATCTGGTTATTATTGAATACCCCCACCAAACCTCTACCCTATACAAAATCTGTAGTTTCTGGCAGACGCATCACAAATTAATCACAGGTTGTATTATTATACTTTCAAAACTTTAACTACTTCAGTGAACTTTTCTTTTTTTCCTTAATCATTTAGCATGCTTGAATCTACTGATGTAGAATTTTGTATTTACAGACATATTACCGGAAACGCTGGAATTTTAAAAAAAAAATCTAGTGAGCTGGTGATGCCTTTGACATCTTAGCAAATAAAATTAATGCATGCAGCCATCAAAAAGATATTAGGTGTGTGGATCTGGGTTAGCCAAATTAATGACATTGTAGCTTCTGGCTCAACAGGGCAGCAGAACAGCTATAGTGCAATGACCTTTCATGAAGGTATCACAGATGTCTGCCAGTTCAGACGATCTGATAAGTCACTTCTTGCCTTATGATTATTGTTAATAAGAATGTATATGAACATGTTTGCCTCTGAAGTATGCACAGATTAGTGCCTGCATTTATTTTCTTTAAAATAAAGTATTGCTTGATTGGGTTTTGGTTCCTGATAGGCTTTTTTTTCTCATTTTAAAGCATTCCACGATTTCACTAACACAGAGTGGCCAAATGGCCTTTAAAGATAGATATTAAGTTATTTATTTTCTCTTGGTGGAGTGCATTGCACATGTAATTTTGAATGCATCAGCCAAAATTTTCAAACCTAAAAACCTAAATTTAAGCTTCTAAATTCATATTCAGGCACCCAAATGACAGTGTTTTAACTTTCTGAAAAGCAGGGTGCCACAATCCCAATCAACCAGGGTCTTTCTTTATAGGCCCAATTCTGCAAAGTCTGGTGGAACTACTCACAATGTGTAAAATTAAAAAATATGCATAAATCTTTGCAAAATTGGGGCCACTATTTGCACAGGAGAAAACTGTGATAGGCATTAATTTTAAAGTAGCTTCTACAGCTATTTTTCATGTTTAATAAATGTTTCAAAGAGACCTGAGACCCATAGCAAAGAATGAGATATCTGTTCCATTCAAATGCACAGTAGACCTAGGTTTACATATGATTAGTGATAACAAACTTTAACTCAGTAGGCTCTTTGATTTTTTTAGGTCCTGTCTATTCTATGGAGACAGTAATGGGATTGCTATGGCTGCGTAACTATGCTGACATAACCCCGTAGCATAGATGTAGCCTACAGTGATGGAAGGAGTTTTTCCATCACTGTAAAAACACCATCACCCTGAGCAACAGTAGCTAGGCTGACAGAAGCATTCTTCTTTTGACCTTCCGGCCTGTACACCAGGGGTTAGGTTGGCATAGCTACGGCACTTGGGGGTGTGAATGTTTCACACCCCTGAGTACTGTAGCTGTGTTGACCTAAATTTTAAATGCAGAACAGGCCTCAGATGTAATAGCCGAAGCTCCTGTCTTCACTGGCCAAACAACTATACTTAAAAAATCTTCCTAAACTTAGGTCTAACATTGTGTACAGAGGCCATTCTGGTAAACATATTAAACATGCCTCTATTATAAAAACATGGCTGCAGTAAAACATTGTGTAGAGTACAGTTTAGCCAGAGTGAGTGTCTGGAGCAGGGGTGGGTAATAATTATTTGAGGGGGCCACTTAAAAATTTGCAGGGAGTCCCAGACCAGACCAGAAAGGGCAGGGCCTCAAACTGAAGGGGCAGGGCCAGAATGTTTCCGGTCTTCTCCACCCACAGACCATGATTGGTCTGGGGGGTGGAGGAGCCCCTTTCCTACTACGCACCAAACCCCTGGCGGTGGCAGGAGACTTCCCATGCTCCTCCACCTCCAGGCCAATCAGGAGGTGAGGGAACATGAGAAGCCTTCTCCCACCCTGCCAGGAGCACATGGCACTTCTAAGTGCCACACGCTCCTCCCAGGGCAGGAGTAGAGCGGAGGAAATTTTGCACGCTCCTCCTGCCCGCAGGCCAATCAGGGGAGTGCACAAAGTCTCCTCCCGCCCTGCCAGGAGCACGCGGCATTTCAAAGTGCCCCATACTCCTGGACGGGCAGAGGAAACTTTGTGCGCTTCCCTCTGCTCCCAGCCCCTAACTGGCCTGGGGGTGGGGGAGCGGCAGGGCCTCCATAGGCCGGATCTGGACCGCAGAGGCCCTTTTGCCCACCCCTGGTCTGGAGGCCAATCTTTGTTAATCTTGTTTAAAAACATGATATTTTGGAATACGCCCCATTGCTTGACACATTTAATTGGAATACCGTAAAGGAAATAATAAACAGGCAGAGGAGGGACTAGATGTCTATATCTGCGTCTTTTTCCACTTCGTGTATTAATAATCACGTGATTCACATTTGAATGAGCAGAAATATTACGTAGGGTAATTCAGCTCTCTAGCTGGAGTCTACAATTGATGGAACTATTCACAGTATGTAAAATTAAAAATACGCATAAATCTTTGCAAAAGGTTGACGTGCAGTGCCCTCCTCACCTTCACCCCATCCATATGGATTGCCATTTGCATGTCTGGAATCCATTCTCTTCCCTCATTGGTTTGCTGCAAAAATGTAAAAACTAAAATGTAATTCAGAGTCTTTTTTACTCTTTCCAGTTTCATCCTGCATTACCACATATAAGAAGACACCACCTCCTGTTCCACCAAGGACCACCACAAAACCTTTTATTTCAATCACGGCCCAGAGCAGCACAGAGTCGGCCCAAGATGCATACATGGATGGGCAGGGCCAAAGGGGAGATATCATCAGTCAGTCTGGTCTTAGCAACTCTACCGAAAGCTTGGACAGTATGAAGGCCCTAACGGCTGCTATTGAGGCTGCTAATGCACAGATCCATGGCCCTGCGAGTCAGCATGTAGGCAACAATACTGCAACAGTCACCACAACCACCACCATTGCCACTGTTGCTGTAGAAGACAGAAAGAAGGATCAGTTCAAAAAAAACAGATGCTTATCCATTGGAATACAGGTAAATTATGAGTAGCATATTGTTTGTGTTGGTGTGGGTTTCTACATTACTTATGGAGTGTTCCATTTTTTCTCTTTTTAATCCCTTTTTTGGTTAGTTGCTCATTTCTGTCCAGTGACTGTAGAGATTTCAGTTGTATTTAATTATTCTCAGTGTGTTTTCCTAATTAATCTTAAATATATCAAATTGTAAGGATTTCTTGAGTCAGTTTGCTACTTGTTATTCAGCTCTGTTAAACTACACACATGAACACAAGCCTATGAATCATATTACAGCAGGGGTCAATGAAATCATTGAAAGAGAATGTATAAAACAATGATTTACGCTACACTATCACCAGAAAAATATTTTCAGACAGCTTAGCTGAACTGTCACTGCTTATTCATGCATTTGGAAACAACTGTTAGTCATTTGAATGAGGCAGCATTGTTCTACTTAGCTGTTATCTCAGCTGTAAGAGCAAGGGATAAGATTTCTCTGATTGGCCCCTATTTAACATAAATTAAACTCTGTTACCTCTAGTGGAATGAAGCAGGAAAACTAATCCAGCCATACTCAGTTGAAGCTTAGGGAAAAGAGAAATGTAAATTAGCTATGCATTTTCATTTTGGATGTGATCTAAGTTTTTTATTAATCTCTCCCATGCATCCCTTAAAATGACGTCTATAGAAGTATGATGTGATGACAATTACTTATTATTTATCAGCTCATTCATGCTGTTAGAACCAGACAGTCTGGGTTGGAGTCAACTAAGAATCAACTCTGGTGTTTGCAGTGAAAATGAATCCCAAGCAAATAGGGCAGTGTCCTCAAACTGACCAACCTTGCTCCCCCAGAAAAAAACTGGTTAGTCTTTTCCTAAAGATGAAGTTTGCACGTGAATGCTCTTGCACAGATTTCTGGTATGTCGGTGTTATTGGGTTGATCTAATTGTTATGAAAGAGGCTGATACTTTAGGTAGGGTTGCCAGATGGTTTAACCAAAAATACTGAATACCCCCTCCCCTTAAAAAAAAAACACAGGGAAAAAATTTTGTTGAAAAAAAGGGGGGAGGGACCAAAGTAGAGGAGGAAAAAAAAGACCCAGAGAGTTATTAAGCAAAAATAAGATGGCCCCTTTAAGAACAGGAGAGGCTAGGCTTTGCCTCTCCTAACAGGCTGCCAGCAGCCAGTGGCCATCTTGCCTTCCTCCTTGCTCCGGGCCAGACAGCTCCCCTGCAGAACCATGTAAGTGGGGGACGGAGGGGAGGGGCACGAAAAAGCCCAAAGGAAGGTGTTCTAATCCGGCAGTGTTAGAATGTTTTGCTTGACCAACGGCGAGACCCAGTCCAGTGCCTCATCAGTCAGTGTTATCGGTCCCATCTTGGCCTCATTTGTAGGGTGAATCTGAGGGTGCAGAATAAAAAGTAGACAGTGCCAGTTAAGGAAAACCCTACATTTTTGGCAGTTTCCATCAAAGTATTTGAGTTGAGGCACCACAGGGCCCTCTTTGAGTACAGGAGCCACCACTCATGCCTGGAGTGTAATGTTCTTCTGCGAGTGGCCCACGGATTCACCAAGGGCTTTTTTTTCTGCCAAGAGTTGCATCACCTGAGCCCACAAAGCACGAACCTTGGTCTGGAGACAGATGACCTGCTTCGGCAGATATGGTGCCCTGTGTGATGTACTAGGCAGCGGCACACTGCACCGTTCAAATTGGGTTATGGACAGTCATGCTAGCAGTCAGAGCAGCAGTCAGGGACTTGGAACCAGACTCAGAGATTGAATGTCTCAGTTCAAAGGTCAAACCTGAGTCAAACCAGGAATTGGAACTAGATTACCTGGAGTGAAAAAAGGTATGAGCAGAACTGGGTCAAAGGCAGGAGCAAGGCTGGGACAGATCTGGAACAAAGTGAGGAAATGGCGGTCAAGAAGGTGGAATGGAAGTAGGAACAAGGCAAGGTCTGTCTCAGCAATGGGTCAGGGATTTGCCTTATTGCAAACACAGTGTACTGGGACTCCCTCCCAGTGGCCCCTAAACCAGTCAACATTGCTGCCATTCAGGTTTTCTATAGGTGGTACCTAGGCCAAGTCTACACTATGTGGAAGATCAGTGCCACTGTGGTCGATCTTCCAGGATTCGATTTAGCGGATCTAGTGCTAATTCGAACTGAGAGCGTGCCCCCGTCGATACAAGTACTCCTGTACTTCATGAGGAGTAAGGGAAGCAAATACTCCCATTGACCACTCGCTGTGTGGACAGTGATTTATGATATCTCAACTCCAAATACATAATTAACATTCTGGAGGGGCGTATCTTAAGCCAACATTCCCCTTTAGTGCAGACCATGTCTTAGTGTCCAGCCTACTTACCCTCAACTGTGGGAAGAGTAAATTTCTGCAACCCTTGAAAGGATGCAGTCTTTTGTCTCCCATGTGTCTTAAGTTATTTCCTACCCACTTGCTTGCAGGAGGAAGTATCCAGAGACCAGGGCCTGAGCTCAGCACTAGACCTGAAACCAAGATCCAGACAGGCTGAGCAAGTTAGAAAGTCCTTAATTCTTCTTACTCTCCTAATCAGTTATGTAAGGCAATGGCACAATCTAGTGTCCCTCATTTCAAAGTAAACAACTTTACTGCTGGCAAAGACCATCCTAAACAGGAAAAAATTACAAAGCTAGAAGTAAAATTCTTGAAATAATAACTAAAATCTATGTGGATTACATTGGAGGAAATCTGAATTGACAACAGTATTGTGACCATGAATCTTAAACAGATGACTAGGGTCTACCTTCCCTTCTTAAAATAACTGTTGCTGTAAGTAAAATATGTTTGAACTTAATACCCCATTGCAGTAGTCATTAAGGGGAACGTTTTCAACATCACAACTGGTTGTTTCAACCTTTGAAATTTAGGGTGTATGAGGAGGAGCATTTCCAGCAGATACAGAGAAGTAATTATTCCCCTTTATAAGAAAGCCACATCTGGAATACCACGGCCAGTTTTGGACTCCCACTATAGAAAGGATGTGGACGCATTTGAGAGGGTCCAATGGAGGGCAACTAAAATGGTTAAGAGACTGGAGCACATGACCTGTGAGGAGAGACTGAGGGATTTGGGCTTATTTCATCTGCAGAAGAGAAGAGTGAGAGGGGATTTGATACAGTCTTCAACTTCCTGAAAGGATGTTCCAAAGAGGATGGAGAAAGGCTGTTCTCAGTAGGGATAGATGGCAGAAGAAGGAGCAATGGTCTTAAGTTACAGTGGGGAAGATCTAGGTTGGATATTAGGAAAAATTATTTCACTAGCAGGATGGTGAAGCACTGGAATGGGTTACCTAGGGAGGTGGTAGAATCTCTATCCTTAGAGCTTTTTAGACCCAGCTTGAACAAAGTTCTGGCTGGGATGGTTTAGCTGGGGTTGGTCATGCTCTGGGCAGGGGACTGGATTTGATGACATTCTGAGGTTTCTTCCAGCCCTATGATTCTATGATTCAGGAAGCTTGATAAATAATCAGTGGGGCCACTGAACAATTGAAATGCTAGTTCAGTACTCGAAGAAGATAAGGCCATTGTGAAGAGACAAATACATTATTTGCATCAGTCTTCACTGCAGAGGATGTGAGGGAAGACCCCACATCTGAGCGACACCTGAGCTTTGGGCAGGGAGTTGGACTCAATGACCTCCTGAAGTCTCTGCCAGTCCTAGGATTCTATGATTCTATGAGATTTTCCCCTAAAATATTGACTTTACTGATCACAAGTAATTATATTCCTTATACAAAGTATGACAGGAATATTGAAAATACTGTGGGAATATTAATTGTTTGGAAACCATAACAATGTCCAATGAACTTACCTGTCTGAAGCAACAGTGCTGAGATGCAATATCTCGCAAAACATCAGGAAGCACCGTAAACCTTTCACCGATCCAGGTCTACTGGTCATCCAAATCTCAAATAAAAGTAATTTTAGAGGGAAATCCAACAGTTGTCAGAAGGACATGTTTTTGTGGCAGTTCTTTTTAACTTTGTTGTAGATATTGCTGTTAACCAGAACTTTGAAGCAGCGCTATGAAATGTCAGCAGTCTTGGTGTACATAGTAGAATTTCTGTTACATATATTTGTGCACATTAAGCAGTCCCATATATCATGAGTAGTCCCACTGACTGCAGCAGCACTAAGTCCAGAGGAAGGCTCTTCTCAACATGAGAAAATACATTGAGTAAGATGTTCGCTGCCCAATCCCATAAGAGTTGACAATCCTGCTCAGTCATTGGAAAATCTCCTTAGATTGAATTTTAACTTCAATTTACTTTAAAAAGTAACCGTAGCTAAACTGGCAAGGTCATATGAAGTTACTGAACATGTGTTACAATTAATACCTGCATGCATGAATATGGAGAGCACTGAAATAACACTATCAATGAAGAGCAACTGATAGTTCTTTTTCAAGTGGTTCTATATATTTCCATTTCTGGGTAGTGCATCGACTGGTGCAAAGTCATCTAAAAAAAAACTTGGGTTACAAGTAAATATTCTTAATTTTCATTTAAATTTCGTATCTGTAACAGTCAGTTCCGGAATCCTGACATTTAAATAAAACAATTTCCTTTTAAAATGTAATTTCAATATCACTTCACATTCACATTAATTTAAATGTTCTGTAAAATAAAGAGCATCTGTTATACACTGGATAAACTTCATCTGCATTTTGAGAGTCCATCATTGCCTTAATAGAAACACTTTATAAATTAGCACAAAATACTATTATATGAAAAAATGTGCATAGCTCTTGGCACACAGACTTTCTGTGTAGGTGAAGTAGTTATGTTATAGGCAAATATATGTAAGTCCTTGCTAAGTAAGACACTAATAAGGAAAGTGATTTAGTTGCCTTAATATCTTTATTAAAAATACATTCTGTTTATATCTGGTTATTTCTACAGGTTGATGGTGCACAAGAATCCACCAAATCAGTTGAAAATAAAGCAACCAGTAAGTTCCAATCCATAGGTGTTCAAGTAGAAGAGGAGAAGTGGTGAGTAAACATTCATTTCATATTCTCAATGCACATGTACAATTTTCTTATTTGTGCCTTAATAAAAGTAGCTTAAAGCAAAATCACCGCAGTAATACCAAATATCCAAAGAATCTGGCGTGTAAACAGCACCCTTTTGAGTTTTTAATCACATTTAGTATTTTAAAAGTAGCTGTGAAAAAGACACCTCAAGGTAAAGCATGTATATGTTTCCACAATTCATTATGTTCCTGGTTTACAATTACAGTAAATGATGCATGCTCATTTGGAATGTCATAATTTAAATTATATAAAACATTTTCAAAATATTTTCTAAAAATAAACAAGACAATCTCATTTAAAAATAATATAATCTTGCCATAGGACAGTGGTCACCAGCCAGTAGATCGGGATCTACCTGTAGATCTTGGAGCCTCTGACAGGTGATCCTGACTGGTTTGGCCAGGAAGCTATCAAGCGCTGGCACTTCAGTTGCCCCTCCACCCACTGTCATCCTGCTCTTGCCCTCTGCCTTGGAGCTGCCCCCCTGGGAGCCTCCTGCTTACTGTTTAGGGTGTGGGAGGGAAAAGGGTTAGGGTGTGCCTCCTCCCCCCACTTCTGTACCCTCTCTTCACACAGGCTATGTCTAGACTGCAGGCTTCTTTCGAAAGAGCCTCTTTCAAAAGATCACGTCTAGACTGCAGGCGGATCTTTCGAAAGAGAAATCCGCTTTTTCGAAAGAGAGCACCCAGCGAGTCTGGATGCTCTCTTTCGAAGACGGCCTCTTTACATTGAAGAACGCCTTCTTTCGAAAGAGGAACTTTCGAAAGAAGGCGTTCTTCCTCGTGAAACGAGGTTTACCGCCATCGAAAGAAAAGCCGCGTTCTTTCGAAATAATTTCGAAAGAACGCGGCTTGAGTCTGGACGCAGGGGAAGTTTTTTCGGGAAAAGGCTACTTTTCCCGAAAGAACCCCTGAGTCTGGACACGGCCACAGATGGAGAGAGGATACAGGAGAAGGGGATGGAGGGAGTTTGGCAATGCAAATCTCTGTCACTCTCACACACTGTGTGTCTCTGTCATTCTCACAAACACACACTGTCTTTCACTCTCATTTCCAACGTATACATGGGTGGTTGTTACTCCTTTTATTTGCTTGCAAAGTGTGTTATTTTTGGTGTTTGACTGGTCTGTGCATTTCATAATTTTCATTTCTCTCTTGCACTTAAATGTAATTCTTTGAGTAATGAGTTCTAAAATGCCTAACCTGTCCTGACTGGAGTCATTATCCCTGTGGTAAGTGCTGCTCCTGGAAGTGGCTGGCATGTCTCTGCAGCCCCAGAGAAAGGCAGAGCAGGGGGTCTCCATATGCTGTCCTTGCCTGCAGACACCACTCCTGCAGTTCTCATTGATCAATAATGGGGAACCGTGGTCAATAGAAGCTGTGGGCTCAGTGCCTATAGAGGAGGGGCAGCACATGGCACCATGGAGCCATTGCTATACATGTCATCTGCTTTCATGAGTGGTGCAGGGCCAGGGCAGGAGTAAGCCTGCTTTAACTTCACTGCTCCACCATCTGGAAACCATCTCAGTTAAGTGGCACCCAGCCAGAGCCTGCTTCCTGAACTCCTGCCCCAGCCCTGAAACCCCTCCCGGACCCCAAATCTCCCAGCCTGGGCTAAGCCTGGAGCCCCTCCCACACTCTAAACCCCTTGGCCCAAAACCAGAGCCTGCACCCCAACCCTCTACCCCAGCCCAGTGAAAGTGAGTGAGGATGTGGAGAAAGGGGGATGGAGTGAGCAGGGTGAGGCCTCGGCGAAGAGGCAGGGAGGAAGTGGGACAAAGATATTTAGGTTTGTGGTAGATCTTACATTGCACTTAAATTGAAAACGTGATCTTGTGGTTAAAAAGATTGGAGACCACTGCCATGGGAGATAAATGCCTGCCGACATTAGTTTTCTCAGTAAAACACTGTAATGTCCAAAACCATAGGTGAATAGAGGTGAGCACAGATATGTGGTCTCATGATCTGAACACAGAACTGGGAACCAGTCAGCCTTGAGTTCTAAGGTTGGATTCAAGATTGATCCTCCAAGGGGATTTTGACAATTAATCTTATCTGCCTCAGTTTCCTTATCTGCAAAAGATGGGTATTCATATTTTCTTGCCTATGTTGTGTAGATTAATTATAAAGTAATATTTGTAAACCACTTTAAAAATAATATTGCAAAAATAATACTGTGTTATTGCTTTGTTGACCAAGACAGCAACCATAAGCGTTGCTTGTATTGAGGCTGGTAATGTAAAAATAAATCCCCATCTTTACATTGTGGGTACATAAGAGTGACCCAAAAGATGGGTTCTTGTACATTTCATCTCCTGGTTCACAAGAAGATAACACAAAGGTAATAGCCAGTGTTGTTGCTATGTCAGTTCCACTATGAGACAGAAGTTGGTCCAATAAAAGATATTACCTCACCAACCTTGTCTTTCTAGCAGACAAGTGAAGCAAGGAACAGAGCTGAAATTCATGAGTGCCTGCACTCATGATAAAATTCATCTCCTGGATTGGCTGTTGTTGGGTTGCTGTACTGGAAAGTTCAGTATGATTCAGCCTTGTGTGTCATATTTTTCAGGCACTGATTTTTCAGAGCGTTAAATGGAAAACATATGTGATAGGGTGCGAATTGTTCCCTGGTGTGCTGATCACACCACTGACACCTGCCGCCTTACTCTCTGGGACTCCCCATCACCCTGTCCCACTGGACCAGATCCTCAGGTCACCCCAGACAAGGCACAGAGTTGGGGATACTGCTCCCCTGAAGAGCAATGGAGATAACCACTTCAGCTCTGGGAGAATGCAGTTCTCAAGCATCGCACGCAGGAAACCAACCTCCAAAAGGGATCAAAAACCCAAATAAATCTTCCTTTTCTCTGTATAAAAGAATGTTCACCCTCCTTATCAATGAATGTGCACTGGTCTTTCCCTCCAGGTAACAGTTATTTACACTGTGCCTGATAGTAAACAAATATGTTTTATTAAGTACAAACTATAGGATTTAAGTGGTTGCAAGTGAAAATAGACAGATCAAAGTAAGTTACTAAGTTAAAATGAAAAGAAAACACACTTTCTACTTCACTAAAAAACTTATTGCAGGCAGAATCTCACCTCTGAGAGCTGTTCTTATTTCAGGCATAAACTTCAGGTCAGAGACTTTTACCCTGACCTGGGTCTCCAGCTCATCCATTCAGGGTTTTCCAGGCTAACCAAAGACAAAGGCATGATAGCTTCCCATTGCTTAAATAATCCTTTCCCCAGGGTGGGAATCTTTTGTTCTATATTCCCCCTTCCATGGAAAAAAAAACAGGGTCAAAATGCAATCCCAGTACCAAGTGGTAATGTCTTACTAGTCCTATCACCTTTGGATTTACAGGACAAACAAAGCTTGTTTACAAGTTGTTAAGTTGATCACCAAGTCCTTAATGCTGGGGTGGCACCAGTAATGGCTCTCATTAGCACATTTAAAACTATAAATTTCGTATTTTTTACTTTTCAGACAAGATTGATACATGCACCAAAATAGGATATACAGATCTAGCAGATTGCGACAATTAAATCAATAGGTTACATAAGGTATTTTGTCCAAAGCATCTCCGAGTTATGCATATTTATATTCGTAGGCCAAGTTTCATAGCGCACGGGGGAGGGGGGGAAACCATCACAATATATTTTAGAGAGTCATAAAATTTTGAGTAGTTTCATAGAGCACGGGGGAGGGGGGAAAACCATCACAATATATTTTAGAGAGTCATAAATTTTGAGTAGATTATCCTTGAGTGAGTTTTTTTTACCCATTGTTATGCAACATCTCAAAGTAAAAAGTTAGTTTATAAAACTTGAATATCTTCTAGAGTTGTTTATTAAATTAGTGCTTGAAATAAAAAGAAAGAAAACCATTCCTGGAATTTATGCTTTTTTTCCTGCCTGAAATGCATTTCAAGGCACCATCTCTGACTAGAAATTGCTGAAGGGACTTTTACCTTGTACTTTTCATTTATGACATAGGACAAATCCTGGTCCTTGCACAAACCTGATTCAATGGGTTTTATATGAGGGTTGGATGAGAGGCAGAATTTTCTCTTTTGTACTACAGCTACTGTGTAACACAAAGTGAGCCACAATGCAGCACTACTTCATTCATCCTTCTGTAGACTCTCCGGGTATGTCTACACTAGCTCATTAATTCGAGCTGGGTAGGCAAATCAGGCAACCGGAGTTGCAAATGAAGCCCAGGATTTAAATATCCCGGGCTTTATTTGCATGTTCCCTTCCGGGCTCTATTTTTAAATCCCCTTTGTTCAAATGAACTGCCCGCGGCTACACATGGCAGTTTAAAGTTAATCCGAACTAAGTCCTTAGTTTGGATTAATTTTAAACTGCCATGTGTAGCTGCGGGCAGTTCATTTGAACAAAGGGGATTTAAAAATAGAGCCCGGAAGGGAACATGCAAATAAAGCCCGGGATATTTAAATACCAGGCTTCATTTGCAAGTGCAAATGCCTATATTAGCCACCCTAGTTCGAACTAGGGGGCTAGTGTAGACATACCCTCCATGATGGGGAGCCTCCACCTTCCCACATCAAATATGAACCACTTCCAACTTGGTCCAGCCACTGTCCAACTTTCTCCAGTATAGCCCACTGACACTTATCTGAAGAAGTGGGTTGTGCCCATGAAAGCTCATGACACTATGTATATATATTGTTAGTCTCGTTTTTACGTTGTTGTTTTTTTTGCAGTATTAGAGTGTGAGTCAAGAAGACTATTTAGCACGAATTTTCTCATTTTGATCATTGCGCATTTGCTAATATGATAACCAAATCAGGTATTATTTACACTGTAGTTAAATAGACTAGAATACATTATCTTCTAACTGAGCATTTCTGTTGTGGTTCTTAGGTTAAAGGCATTTCAAAGGGGGAAATGTGAACTGTAGTGAACTTATTAGGCTGTTGCTAAGTA